AGACCCTGAATTTACGTTTAGAGAGAAAGGACCCAATAAGCTTGGTCAAAGAGTTGGGGAATTCCAATTTTGATAATTTAAACAGCAAGCCTGAGTGCCACGTGGTATCAAAGGCTTTTTCGATGTCCAAGAACACTGCAGCCGTAGACATTTTATTGTTGAAATTAAGGGTCACGTGATCCGCCAGCCTCATACATTGCAATGTCGTGCTGTAATAACTTNTTCCCCTTGCTCTGGGTTCCCGAACTATCCCTGCACCTCAGCTACCAACTTCTAACAGCAAAACACCTCATAATGACTGAACTGCAGTTCTCTAACTCACGAACCAACCAGCTCTTCACTACCCTGCAGTGCAATGCACTAACTGAACTCGATGCAACTTGGTTGGTTGTGTGATGTAGCCTTGGAGTAGACCACAGAGAAAACACTGCCTCCAAAACNCGAGCGTTGCAGAAATGCGTGATAATGTGGGATGTTCCCACATAGTCTTGGAGTAGACCACACAGAAAACACTGCCTCCAAAAGTACTTCCATTGTTGTGTGCGCAGGATGCTGCCTATATGCCACAATACCTTGATTAAGCCACAATTGCTTTCTTTCAGATCCATTAAATTCATCATTCAACTATAATCCTACCACTCAATGCTATATATCTAGCTAACAGTAAATTGGGGGGGGATTAAGAATTACATCGCTCAGCATAATGAGTACTCCGAAAGGTGACACTGACTGCACCAGAACTTTCCTTTGAGGTGAAGAAGTTACTCATCAGTGTACAGGGTATTGAGTACTGAGCCAGATGAGAATTATACCCCAGTCTAATATAACTTAGTGATGATNCTACCACTCAATGCTATATATCTAGCTAACAGTAAATTGGGGGGGGGGATTAAGAATTACAAACAGAACCTTCAGACAGCTGTTTGTCAGACAGTGTAATTACTTACCCTCGTACAGTTCTACAGTCTGGATTAAGGATGACTTGTGCTAATGATGTCACAAGCAGTGTAGCATCCAAACCTTCAGAACCATGGACAAGTACTGAAGCCCCTTCCTATAAACAGATTGATCTTTTAAGTTCACTCTTGGTGGTGTGCACACTGTCATGGTTGTTTAACTGTTCCCTACCTTTTGATTTGTACAGTTTCTTGCCAGGTACTGGATCCTGTGGAGTGAGGATCCTTGAAATATACTGAATCTCACTGAAGTCTCTTCAAACTTTTAGTTTTAATAAACATAACTTTACCAAAAGTCCAATCTTCATCACACAATTCTTTTTTGCAAGAATTACATAAATTGTTTCAGTGAAATATTCCCACATTATTTCCACCCCATCAGTATTTTTACAGCAAAGTGTCCAACACTGTTTTGTATATTTTACATCTGGAAATTCCAAGTACAAAGTTTCAAGTTTGTTTCACTGTATAAGTGCAGCTGGCAGCATGTGATAGAAGCGGTAAACAAATGAAAATGTAAGTTTATCCAGAGCTTAGATAAAACAACATTACTGGTGTTACAGGCACATGCCTATCTATTTGCTCTACCTTTATTTATATGTAAATGCACAAACATACTTACCAAGAGTCAAATGGTTCACATATATAGTCATATTGCAAGCCTGTCAGCTGACATATCTAACATATAAGTTTGACTTTTGGGAATAAGCTATATGAGTTAGGTCTGGCAATAGACAGTAAGTGGGGGGTGAAGGTGTGAATGAATGGAACCCAAGAGTTGGGTGCTATCCAGCAGGCAGCAACCACATCACCATTGGCAAAACGGCCATCTTTGAGCCACAGCCATCCTTAGAAGATTCTGCCAGACTGCATCTGTTTTCCACTTCTTTGGATTTCACACTGAACAATGCCATCAGCCTCGCATACAACCCCAACCAGGAGGACCAGGTCCCTGTATTTATGTTCCCCAGTAAAAGGGTAGCCAAGTTATACTCCCCGGCACAAGGTTCCCTGTTTGTTGCCTTCTATGACTCACAGGGCTACAGTGGAGGTATTCTAACATGCATCTAAATGGGGGAAAAATGGTTATGATAAAATTATTTGGGGGAACAGATGGTCATGAAATATGATGATGGAAAAGTTCTTTGTGAGCCCATGTCAAGGAAAACAACTGAAGCACTTTTCCACTTATATCTGGAGAACTGACTAATAATGATTTAGATTACAACAGTCAGTGCCATCCACAGATGCAACATACCTGATCAAGGCATTGTGCCACCAAACAAGCACAGTTGAGAGTGTCCTTTATATGTGACATCCAGTTGGATGACTCGAGGCGAGACAACCATTTGTCTGTTGATGCAGTCGTGTCATTACAAGCTGCAAAACAAAAAGACAATGTATCATGATCAACAGCAAGCCCGTAGGTTCAACTTATTCATGAATTTATTAAGAAATTAACTATTGCACAGAATAGAGTTAAACTTGCAATTTTTGCTCTTGGATTTTATATCTTTTTTGGGCTTTACATACCCTTACATACCTAACCAAATGTGCAATTAAATTATAACCAATTTTGTATTTCCTCAAATATATGTTTCTCCCAAATCTGGGCTCTATTCTTCGAACGTTGACAATGGGGTTAACTGAGTCTGCCTTTATAATACTGTATTTTGGAAAGTTAAAAGTAACACCAGCATTGTCTCACTCATGTTCAAGGTCTGCCACAATAAAATACGCATATCTTTACAGATGAAAGTAAGTACTAAAACATGTCATTATCAGATAAGTTTATAATTTTCATTTGTTTTTTTCACACTGAAGAATTTTTGTGGAACATGGAATATCTTCTGTTAAGAACAGGTTTCAGCTCTTTTTACCATAACTGGTTAATGAAAGAATGATTTGTCACAAGTTCAGAAAGAACAGGTTCACAGTGCTCTCCAATTACTGCCAGCACAGAGACTTATGAATGACTTTTCAGTGCTTCATGAATTCATGAAGATACAAGTTAAGTATAGGAAGTGAAAATATAAGATGTATGTTGAAAGATATTGATTTTGTCAAACCAGAGTACAGTGACACAGATCATGAAGAACAGTGCAGATTGGGATACTTCATTTCAGAACATTCAAGTTTTTATTAGAAGCCACTGCAACCAATGTGTAAATATGCAAAATGCTGCTTCCTGTAATACATTAGCCAGATGTCATTAGCTGTCTCACAGAAAACACAATCTACATTTAAATCTCCAAAACTAAAATCTGTTATGTATTCATGACTGTATATAGTAAAATCTGCCAGTGTTGGCTCCCCATAGTTCTGCTCAAACCCAACAAGCTTATAAAAAATACTATTAAAATTTCCCATTTCTGAGTCTATAGTGGTTAAATAATTATTGGCCTGCATTCACTCTGCAAACACGATAAGCCTTTAAAAGCTTTCCTTTTGTTCTTGATCATACAAGACTCGGCAACTGACATACTGAATATCAAATCACTGGACCTGAGTTGAATGTGAAGGAGATGTGCTATCGGAAAGTTCCCAGACTGTTACTGTTGTAACTGCCTTGGTGAAAGAAGATGAGAGGGGAGGCCAAGGTCACACTTCTGCAAGCCTAATGCATCAGTCTGCCATGTGACACCACGCTGTGAACATGCACGGTTTTCACATGAGTACTTTTCAACTTTGTGTTTTGTTTTGTCCATGATGGAGGGCAAAATCAAGCAATGTGTCTGCATCAAGTTTTCTGTGAAGCTCAGTAAATCTGCTACCAAAAACTCTGAAATGCTTCATGAGGCTTTTGGAGAACATTCTTCAAGCCAGACAGTGGTTTTTGAATGGCATTCACATTTCAAGCCCGGTCAAGTGTCAGTGGAAGATGATGAATGTTCAGGGCGACCAAGCACCAACAAAATGACAGAAAATGTTGAAAAAATTCAAGAACTCATCCATGAAGACCATTGCTGAACAATCCATGAGCTTGCAGACATCACTGGGATCAGTTATGGAGCTTGCCAGAAGATCTTAACAGAAAATTTGAACATATGCCACCTTGCTGTGAAGTTCGTTCCCCAAATTTTGACAAATGATCAAAAGCAACAGCACATAAGCATGTGTCGTGAGATATGAGGGAAGATTAATGAAGACTCAACTTTTAACTGTAGGATTATAACAGGTGACAAATGTTGGATTTATGGTTATGATCCAGAAACAAAGCAACAGTCATCACGGTGGAAGAGCCCACAATCACCAAGTGCAAAAAAGATGCGGCAGGTACAGAGTTCTACTGTTTTTTTCAATGTGAAGGGGATTGTTCACCGTGAATTTGTTCCTTCTAACATTACGGTCAACTCTGACATCTACTGTGACATTGTGAGACACTTGAGAGAAAATGTGTGACAAAAGAGACCAGAATTTGGGCACAACCACAACTGACTCCTTCATCACGACGTGCCTGCCCACATATTCCTGAAAACCACAGAGTTTGTGATTAACAAAATGTGGTTATCATTCCCCATCCTCCCTACTTTCCAGACATAGCCCCTTGTGATTTTGCTTTGTTCCCAAAATGAAACTGAAGGGATGATTTTTTGAAACAGTGTCTAACATCCAAAGGGAATTGCATGTGGTACTTGATAGCATTAAGGAGAATGACTTCATGGTGCTTTTGAAGCATGGGAAAAATTATGTGATTGTTGTATACTTTCCCAAGGAGACTAATTTGAAGATGGCAACCAAAATTGAGTAAGTTAAGCCAGCATTTCTTTTTTGAAGTAGTCTGGGAACTTTCTGTCAAACCTCTTATGAATTTTAGTTATCAATCAGAGTGAAAAATGCAGCAAACCTGTGTATGGTAACTGGAGTATCAACAAAAAGGGTACTGACCAGGCACAACTTCCCAGAAGGGGCAAATGGGTGAAGAGATTTTCACTTGTACACACAGGTACAAATAATCAGCCATCTTTGTGTGGCCAAGACAGAAATATTACTATATTTAATGAACCACAGCATGAAATGCAGGAAGATGGGGAAAGATACAAGATTGATGGGCAAGCAAGTTTCAGAGCATTGGCCGCATGTAAATTAATACAGTTTGCCAATTCCATTCAACATGACCAATTCTGGCAGGTGACCAACTTTACAGGTTATGCTGTACACTAGTAGCATATATACAAACAATTTTTGAATTTATGTGTGCTATGATTGTACAGAAGAACCTTAAAGCTTATAAATTGGCTGTAAATATATAAAGAAACTTCTGTTGAGTGTGTCATTGGAAGCACGCTACAATTTATATGGTTTTAGCAGTTCTGACCACAGAAAATAATTCAAAGGTAACATCGCTCTGCATAATGAGTACTCCAAAAGGTGACACCGACTGCACCAGAACTTTCCTTTGAGGTGAAGAAGTTACTCATCAGTGTACAGAGTACTGAGTACTGAGCCAGATGAGAATTATACCCCAGTCTGATATAGCTTAGTGATGATGAAGAATAACTGACCTTCAACAAGCTTGGCAAGGGAATCAAGCAGGCCCTGATGACGATCAATGGGCTTATTGATTCTTCGCCATTGTGGATAGTACATCTCTACTTCAAAGCCACCTCCACGAGACTGAAATATGACAGCACAAAGCGAAAATGTAACACAAATAAACTTCATACACTAAAACTAGGAATTACACAACATTCTAACTCACTCTTCAAATATTTTGTTACTGCTTGCTAATACTTCATCATTTCCCATGCATGAGCTCTACTCTGAGGTGCAGATTAAAAGCTTCTGGACTAAGAAACAGGCTGTCACCAGTATAACAGAGAAATATATAACTTCCATCTTCAGAGATAGAACCGAAAGTTACTAAGCAGGTTGGTCTTGTGGTAACATTAGACTTTGGTTAGTCGCTGGCTTCCCACCGTGGCGGCACGGGTTCAATCCTGGATCTGGTCAAGTGGGATTTGTGGTGGACAAAGTGGCGCTGGGGCGGGTTTTCTCCAAGTACTTAGGTTTCCCCTGCCAATCTTCATTTCACCAAATTCTCCATCATCATAATCACCTGGGGCAGGCTACAATAGGCCAATCAGTGGCCACCATGCTGAGTGGACCCAGTTGGACTCCACCCCCCAAATAGGGAAAACACTAGACTTGCATTTGGAAGGTGCCAAACACTGGCTATCCTGACATAGATTTGTTGTGGTTTTACTCAGTCCCTCCAGGTAAATTCTAGGATATTACCTTGATTAGGTTTCAACTGCTTCCTTCTAAATCCTTTCCAATTCATCATCAGCATCACCTTACCATTCAATGGTATATAATCTCAATACTAAAAGTGCCATAAAATTACACAAAGTAAACTAGGACAGTAAGAATTCACTACATTGCTTTAATAATAACGGAAATATATCATATCAACCTTGATCATCATGTGTCTTTTATTTTGGTAATTGGTAACCACATAGCACCATGAACACAGAATATGGACTTATCTTAAATTTGCGGCCGCGTCATAGCTCAAGCGGTTAGTCGCTGGCTTCCCACCACGGCAGCCTGGGTTCGATCCCGGGTTTGGTCAAGTGGAATTTGAGGAGGACAAAGTGGCACTAGGGCAGGTTTTCTCCAAGTACTTCGATTTCCCCTGCCAATCTTCATTCCACCAATTGCTTCACAGTCATCCTCACCTATCATCTAGGGCTGGTACAATAGGCAAGAAGTGGCCGCAGTACAAGGGACTTGGTCCCACCCCACTAGCATTAAAAAAATGGCTTAAATTTTGTGTGTGTGTGTGTGTGCATGTACAATGGAACTGCCTGTCAGAAGTGTAAAGTAAGTAAGTAAGTACAGTAAAGATATCCCTGTAACAGGCTGTGGAGGCCCATAGGGTTCTGAGATGTTCAGTTCCCCACATTTTCTAGACAGTTGATTCATAGATGGTGGTAAGGTTGTCAGCCTTACGTGTCGGCTGCCCTTTGCCCCCAAGAATATTCCTGGTACTCATTTTCTGAGTCAACCCCAGGTCCATAGTGCGGCTGGAAGTATTAGGTAAATTGAAAAAAATCACCTCATCTGGATTCAATCCCTCGACCTTCCAGCTTGTAGCAGAGTGCCACAACCAACTATGCTACCATGTGCCCCCTGTCTGTGAGAGGTGTATCTTGAATAATCTAATTGTAACTTCATACATACGTGAAGCTTCAGCAGCTAATGTTACTTTCATATTTCATATGTGGACACATAAAGTCATGGTAGATTAGAGCAGCACTGACAACAAAGAATGTTATCTCCTGGGATGTGACACTGCACAGTAAGGTAAAAGTCCAGAACGATTTTGAAGAGTGTACTGCTGCCACCTTCAAGGTCAAATAGTACGCAAAGAAAGCATCAAGAAGCAAGCTAAGCTTCATGGACTTCCGATGGACAACATGGCACACACCCCAGAAAGTAACAGTGTTCATGCTATCCCAAGTCACACAGTCCTGAAACCTATGTGCTGTTCGTTTTCAAAAGTCATGAATTATCCAATGCTATGAATTAAAAATTGTAATTTCCATTATGTAAATAACTGCAATCAGAATCACAATCACTGCAACAAAATTGCCTCTATCAATCAAATATGTCCCTATGTCCCATTTAACAAGGCCATAAGTACTGATACAAAGAGAAGATCAAAACTACCTTTTTAAAGACAAGATTTTTAATCTCATGTACTGCTGTAGACAGGATTCTCAGCCTAAACTGTTTGTATGACGATGACAACAAAAGATATAACACTGTTTTGAACTATTTGAGGAAACATGAATTAGCCAGTATCAAAATCAGTGTTTTTCAAGAAATACTAGAACAAGTTTAAGCTGAGTACCTCACATCAACACTAGTTACTGCACAGTTCACTGATAGTCTCTTCATTCATATTTAGTTTAAATTCTGTAGCATTAAAAATTTTCTTTAGGACACTGTTTACCTGTTGTTCCTTCTGAGTGACATGACCCAGAATGGCTGACAGCTGGTTCTTCAGAGCATGTTCAAGTTTAGTCACCATAAACACAAAACTCCTTATTCAATCCTGCCCTTTGCTTGTTCCTTTCATTTAACATCCACATCACACTATCAGCTGCTTGTTCTCCCATTTATACTTCAGCCTCCAAACTAATTTCTCGACTTCAGATTGCTTTTACAAATTGTGTTAGCATTTTCTTCTCTCATGCCTCATACATCTCTGCCCCAGTTTCTAATTATATAACTAACGGACAGAATTATAGTATGTAAACATGTTCATTGATCACAAATGAATGACTGATAGGCTCAAATGTCAATAAAATCAGTTAGTTTATTGGGCTGTTGCTTATTACGCTACATGTTTTGGTTATTTACGACTGTCAATCAGACATTTATTAATAATAAAATGCATCTGTGTTCATTACTTGACTGTGTGTCAAAACATGTAGCACAATAAGCAACATCTTAATAAAGTAACTGATTTTATTGACATTCAAGACTATCAGTTAATCACTGAAGTGAGGAACTGTTGTGATCAATGAAGACATTTACACTCTTGATTTAAAACATACAAATGAAAATAAAATTATAATTTTGCAGAACCAATTTGATTCAGTTTACATTTGCACAATCCACTGCACTTCCATTCTGTATCTTCACCCTCCAAACAGTCTCCTCCTGTGCACTCCTTTGAAGTCAAACTTAACTCTACAGATCTACATTTTTCAGCTTTTCTGCAGACTACAAACTATAAAAATACTTGTTACTCAATTTTCTGAACAAAAATTTCACAACGTAGTCTATGTAAGAAAACCTTCAGATACAACAGTACAGCCTCCATGCAGTAGCTGCTATCTAAAGGGCTCACAGGGAGAAGTCTGGGGCACAAAACCTTACTACTTTTCACTTTCTCACCATGATGATGAATATGAGGTGCACTTCTATTCAACGTTTTCTGAAAAACTTCTAATCCTTCCACAAACTTCAAGTAACACCGTCTTTCTTGAGAAGCTGATAGCTGTTCAGCCTGTCAAGACATTCCTGGCATTTTAACTACCAGTGGGGTCACCCATGCCAGAAAAGGTCAAAGGGTAGAGTCCAGACTAAGAGAGATACCCTGGTCCTCCAGGTTAAGGGTTGGGCATGAGGTTAACAAACTCATCCTGTAAAAAGGATTCTGTTCAAAATCCTAACAACCAGCCTCAGGTCATCATGCATGGAGCCATTCCTATAGCAGCACATACTGGTTGTGGAGACTGGTTGTAGAGGAGGCCATGGCTCACTCAGGGCTGTAGTGCCAAGTGGTAGGTAGGTAGGTACGTAGGTACCCTGTTCTCCCACACTTTCAGTCCATGTTCTTCCCTTAATGTGACAGCCAATTCCTCACCCTACACAATTGAACCATGAAGAGAGGGGCAGCATTTTTCTCCAGAAAGTAAGTATCCACTTACAAGGCAACACAGTGTCCCAAGTCTGTAGTCAGTCGCTATACTGACTCAGATACCTCGCAGAAGAAATAATAAACTTGTAAGATTTGAGGTCAGCTGTGGCTGAACACAGCGTCGATTTGGGACATTCAGCTTCAGAATACCTCCATCCTCACCACCAAGACCCGATATATGGATCGCATCATTAGGGAAGCCATTGAGATTGAACTACATCCCGAAAATATGAACAGAGAGGGGAGGTTTTGTCTCAGCAAGTCATGGAAGCCTCTCATCTCTTCCCTAAAAAACCCCCCGGGACACAACACCAGATCCACAAGGCTACACAGGCCATAACCCACTAACATAGCAACCCCACCAACTTAAGGGTTAGTGCCCTCTCTTTAACCTTGCCTTTCTCTCCCCCAACACTATATCCTATACAAAACCCTGCTTCTGTCCCAGACCCCCCAGTCCACTGATTTCCCATGTAGACTTGCCCCCCCCCCACTTCCTTCACTTCTCTTACATAGCTGTGTTTATTTCCAACACCAGTCTGCTTGTACCAGTTCTCACGGTCTCTTCACTTGCGGATTATTTATTTTTCCTTCTACCCTGAAGATGGAGGCGATACGTTCCTCTGAAACATCGGTTAGCACCACATGTACATGGTGCCACATCCCAGATGACTGCTTTCTTAATAATAAACTTATTTGCAGAAAACGAAAAATTATGATTTCTTAGCAGCTGAAATGGATATTATCAAAGTTAACTGAACTGCATATTTTTAAACAACAATTAAAGGCAGGCTGCAAAACAGCAACAAAAACTCTTTGAGTTATAGAACCGCTCTTGGGAACATGACTATCACAAGCTGAATGTAGTGCAGAGAGGAAAACTTTCATCTACCGAAATGGGCATGGAGTGGTTGTTTTCCCTCCACAGGCAAATCTATTGGTGGCTTCTGTCATACACTATGGAACCAAAGGGTCAATATGCAGTTCACTCACTCACAAAACTCATGCTAACAGTAAACTACTAAAACAAAAGCAATGAAATTACATAAGTAAATACACCATTAGTCTGGACTGTACACTTCTCTAGCTGGATGCTAGAAAGAGGATGAAATGCATTCTATTCACTATTTCCTCTTGCCTGTGTAACTTCATTGGACAGATCTCTGTTCTGTCTTGCCTC